ATAGCGCATGTTAGATTCGGAGCTCTCTCCAACTACTTCATGCCCTCCTAAAAGAGGTCCAGATCCATGATACGAGAGGAATATATCGTGATTCGATTCCATGATTTTGCCAAGACAGCGTAATGCCTTGGTGCGAATAGGCACAGAAGGCTCACCAAGAAGCTAGTAAGTAAGAGAAATAGAGGTATAACAGAAATAATCGCCTAAGTGCATATTTAGCGATGATTGCTTATACTTACCCGAAAAATATTGCTAAGGAGCACATCAAAACTAGGAACAATAACATGGCACATTGCCAAAAAGGTCGCTGCCCGATATGCCCTGTCTGTAAGGCGACAGCGAAACCTATATGGTAAACACCGGCTTGCTAATGCTGCCAAAGCAAACTGCCGACAAGTCCGAACTAGACGAGCTTCAGAGTGACAAAAGGAACGAATGATTAACCGACTATTACTGAATCCCACGGCATCAGGGAGGCTAGATAAAGCAGCAGCAGCCGCAGCCGCTGGCCGAATAGCCGCTATTAGCAACAAGCCGCCCGTCCATCCAGATGGCCCAAGAGGACTAGCCAGAGCGCCTCGGCCTTCAGCAATAGCAGCATTTGTTTGCAAAGACGTAGGACCAGCCGGTCCGTTGCGGCGTCCATGTGCTGGCGCAGTTAGGGCTAGCAGACAAGCAGGTGATAGGCGTCGTCCGGCAAATGGCCAAAGTGAGGTCACTCCGCTAGTGCTGCTAGCTGACTGGTTAGTAGCAGCTAATTCAGCTATGAGCTGGAGACGGCGCAATTCTAGCCAAACTATTCCAGGTTGATGTATGGAGAATGTAGGAGATGTCTGTGGCATGGATCCACATGGCAAATTATCAGGTAATGAAATCGAAGTTGAGGCAGATTGCAGAGAACGAGAAAATATGGCCAATCGCCGAGAGCAGTCGTGCAACCAGCAAGCCAAATAATACCGCCTTGCAAACTGTAGGACGAATGTTAGGTTAACAAATAGAAAAATATTAAAGGTGAGCACAGCTAGAATTCATATATTCAATATGGCCCATAAATATGAAGGGAAAAATAGTGTGACCTTTTGCTTTACCGCAGTCACTTACAACTATATAGTGTTGGTTTGGCCCCGTTTTAACAACTCGGTCGGAGTGCATAAAAACCCTGTGAAACGTACCTAGTTTTGCGTCTTCTCCAATGGTATGATTTTCAGCACCTAGACGATGACTTGGTACAACTTCAGATATTTCGTCGGCATCATCAATGAGAGGCGGTATCTTTAGAATAAAGTTACAACTTATCAAAGTGACAAGTAAAGGCAATCAATCCCCCTGGTCAAGTTTCTGTTCAGCGGTTGTAACATTCCTCCTCATCCAAATCTTTTTGACTTTGATTCTAGCGCTGCCTATTTCTTTCGACCCTAATTCATATTGCCCGTTTACTTTTTCAAATTATTCTGTGATCTCGTTACTTTTAATGTTGCCTAAGAGTGTGTCGTCTCAAATAGAATCAGCGAAGCCGATTTCACAAGCTGTTCGCGGGGCTTCTGTTTTTCATTTAGCCGCCTCCACATCGATTATCAGATGGTACCTGCTACATATAAAAATCCCTGTCTATCTAGCTGTCTATGAATCTTTAATTCCAAGACCCATTCATGTCATATTCTAGGATTTAAAGAGCAGTGATTGTCCTGCGCAGATATCTTATCCTCCCTTGACTTCAGACCCATGACTCAGTTATCTTTTTTCTCA